TTCCTTTAGCTCCTAACTTGTAGCTCTTAACACCCATTCAGTCAGGGGTCAGGTAGAAAAACAGAAACCCTAGCTAGTTTAACTGGAATAGTTTTGCCCTTGGCTTCTAATTGTCACTGATTTTACCAGAGCTTCCTAGAAACTGTTCCTCCCCTTCCTCTGGGACTGGCCAGAAGCAAAATCTGTTCTATTTGCTATGGGTTCCAAAAGGAGATGATGAATGGTTGGCTTGACCTTGGGCCATCCTTGTGCGTCAGTCCAGATAAAGGCTGGGCCCCAGCACCCAGCACACTCTGGCTCACTTTTCCACAACTAGTGGATCTGCTCAGAGAATGAAAAAAGCTGCTAATATCAGCCTGAAAAGAAAATCATCAGGAAATTATATCTGTGGCTTTAAAAAAATCCCACACTGCCCTCTGTCTCTGCTCCTCTCCCAGCTGGGACCTCTGCCTGCTCCTAGGGCCTCCTTCTGGCCGCCTCCCCGCGCCCCCCGCATCTGGCCCTCCCTCCCTCTGCTCACCTCCCCCAGTCGCCCCTCCTTCCTCTCCTTTCTTTCTCATCCCATGGGACCTCTTGCCTGCCCTCTTTCTTCTCACTGGGCTCCTTCTTTGTGGCTTCAGGCTTCCCTTCCTGTCTCCAGGCCTCCAGCTTTTCCTCAGCTCCACGGAAGCATCTGTCTGTCTCCTTTTCATTTCCCACCAGGGAATCCGAAGTGCTGAATAGACCCTTCAGACCAGCCCTGAAGGGGATTTGGCTGGGGCACTCCGGGAGAGGGGAGGGGTGCCGGGGACCTGCCACGGCCATACAGAAGCCCATTGATAGGCAGCCCCTCAACACAGATTACCCAGCCCAGCCTGCATGGCTCCGGGCACAGAAAGGTGTCCCTTGAGGCAGTGGCCAACATCCCGGCCATCATGAATGACCTCAGTGTCTCTGGCTGGTGGGGCACCTTCACTCTGTATCCCCCAAATCCTTCAGGCCTATCAGCCCCACCATTGGTGTGAATATATTTGTAGAAAATAATTTTTCAGTAAATCTCCCTCAGCAGTGCTGATTTCATTAATTGGAAGAATTAGGTCTTTGTGGCCAATGGAAGAATATGGAGCCAAAACACACGGAACTCTTTTCCCCTGTGACCGAGAGACCCCTGGACGAACTCCTGGGTGCCATGAAAATGGATCATTTTGCAGAAAGAATATCATTGGATGTTTATTTAACATCACTCTCCATCCCCCCAAAAAAGACGTTCGAATTGCTCTCACATCTGGCTGCTTTTCTTTCTTCACTTTTTGTGTAGAGCCAGGGCAAGGAGGAAACTTCATCAGTCTGAAAACATCCAGCAGCAAAGTGTAAATTAAATGTGCAGAGAGGCCAGAGGAGGGGTACTCCTACATGGCAGGGGTGGAGGAGTAAAGAGACTGTGTCCTCCTGTACTTGGGATGGGCAGAGCTGTTTCTGGACCCTGCATCTGCCACTAGAAGCTGTGTGACCTTGGGCAAGACACGTAACCTTTGTGAGCCTCAGTTTCCTTACTGGTAAAATGGGGAAAGAAACACCTACTCCTAGGGCTGTTGGAGGGTTAGAGGCCATAATATATGTAGAGTGCATAGCACATAGTAGATACTTGATTGATGGTAGCTACTATTATTGTTGCTGGAAGCAAAATCACAACAGAATCCCAAATGTTCCCATATCTCAGAGACCCCATATCTTAGGCCTCATTCAGGGAGACAGATGGGCATAAGTGTATCTGACAGGGGAAGACAGATGGACAAAAGAGAATGATCAAGGGTATCGGATGGAATGACTGGCTGATGGACAGATGGAACATCTCATGGGAAAGGTGGGTTTATAATGAGCAAAGGAGACACTGAGAGATGGTCGTCCTTGTTGGGGGACAGATGGGTGAGAGTCGAACAGTGGAGACAGAGAGATGGCAGGTCAAAGAAGAAGACAGAGGGACAGCAATCTCATAGGAGAGTGGGTGAGGGGGCCAGGCAACCCTGTGATTGGGGAGAACAGATGGATGGCATGCTGATGCTGGGGCCCAGGCTTCCTGTTTAGTCTCTAGTCCTCTGCCCAGATATCCTTGAATTTGTAAGCACCCCAGGGGCTCTGTGGGTATTTGAGGAGGGGAGTGTCATGTGACGGGAGAGGCCTCTAAGCATCAGGGTCAGCCTGGTCCCTGTTCTTCCCCCCTGCACAGCCCCTCTCTGGGTGGCCCCACAGATAAAGACAGCCTTGATGGGGAGGAGGAGGAGAATACATCGAGTTGGAAAAAAAAAAAAAGGGAAATAAAAACTGGCTAAAAGTTTTATTTATTTAAAATAAAGGTTCAGTTATGCTTGACTGTAAACATGCTGGCCCATCCCTCCCTCCCTCCCTCTCCCTGTGGCAGAGGGCTTGGGACCACACAGCAAGCTGGGGGCAGGAGGCTGAGAGAAGGTCGAGTGGAGGGGTGGGACTAGGTGCCCCAGGGGTAGGGAGAGAAGAGGGACCTAAGACTCAGTGGCCTGCTGAGCACAGCTAGGCTGGGCTGGTTCTAGATCTGCTGGCCCTCAGCTCCCCATTCATCAGCGGAGTACCCCGCAACTGTCTTCAGGGTTTGAACTCCACATACGTCACACATGTGCATGCAGCACAGGCGCGGGGATGGCATAGACATGCAGGCACTCTGCGGTGTGCATGCCTTTCTATCTGTCTGTTTCTCTCTTTGTCAGACTTAGACAGCAGTCCTAGAGGAGACGGGCAGAACTCCAGCTGTGAGTCACATTTTCTATTTGAACTAAAAACCCTTACTTGTCTTTTGTCCTCTTTCTTCCTGGTTCCACCTGATTTCCTTCCATGTCTTTCAGTGACTGAGCCATTTTGGGTGGCCTCTAAGAACCTATGAGCTCCCTGGAGAAGGGAGACAGGTGTGGATGGAGAAGAATCTAGGGTAGAGACAGGTCTTGGGGACCGTGCCTTGCAGGTCCTTTATGAAGAGGTTGCTGGGGCCGCTGTTGGTGACCCAAATGGCTAGGAAAGGGCTGTGGAATGCAGGGTCAGGAGGGAATAGGCAGGAAATACTTGTGGTAAGAGGTTTTCTTTCCCTTTTGCAAGCTCCCGTCCGAATTCAGACCCCACTGCAGGGGTAAGGGCAGGGAGCTTTAGAGGCAGCCACTGCAAAAATCAGCCTTTGGGACGTGGCTGGAAGGGCTGCCTTTGCAGGGGTACCTGGTGCCCTGAAGAAAGCCAGTGCTTGGGGGTAAAAATGACCCTGGGAACCCAGCCAGGGATGCCTTCCTTCGGGATCAGGAAGTTCAATCAGATTTCATAAAGCCAAATCAATCTCTTAAAATAAAGAAAACCCCTGGGCTTTGTTAATCCAAGAAGTTGCTGGAGAGCTAAGCAGGTCTAACTGTAGCCTGGCCCCAGGGCATTTCATGCACTGGGTGGGTCCCACTTCCAGCCGTTCATTCACATTAACCAGGAAAAGTGGAAAAGGGAAGAGTACCGACAAAGACCAGCCTGGAAGCTCTGGGAGGAGTCCATCCCCAGGGAGCCTTCTGCTGCGGATGGAGTCTCAGGACCGTGTGTCAGGCAGTCGTTTGCAAAGGGTGGTGCTTCTCAGGCTCCTACTGTCTCCTGTTTGTTTGAGGCCTAGCAACTTCACCATCTGTGGTTGACTTGGACAGCTAACAAAGGAGCACCCCATGGGTGGTGGTGAGGCTTTAGGCCTCCCGCTATTGTACCAGTGCCCCTTCTTAAGGATTAGCAGCTTCTATCTATCCCTTGGGGGCTGCACTGTAAATGCCTGTGTAATGCTAATTTGTGGTTGGCAGGAGATTGATTGGGAAGGAGCTGAACAATGGCAAGAGAAGGCTGAGCTGCCTCCTACTCCTAGGAACCTGTGTGTGTGTGTGTGTGTGTGTGTGTGTGTGTCTTCTAGGAGGAATTTAGCAAGAAGTACACACAGAAAGGGTGACTAAAAGAAAGGATGAGGATTAAGTCACCTATGGCCAGAGTGGAGTCTGCAGAGCACAAATTCTGAGAGATTTTTTGATGGGAGTTAGCAACAGCCTATCATTTTTGCCGTATTCTATTCTATTCTACTCTACTCTACTCTACTCTACTCTACTCTACTCTACTCTACTCTACTCTACTCTACTCTACTCTATTCTATTCTATTCTATTCTATTCTATTCTATTCTATTCTATTCTATTCTATTCTATTCTATTCTATTCTATTCAATTCAATTCATTAGAAGCAAGTCCTTAGGTCCAACCCACATTTAAGGGGCAGGGATTACACAGGAGGCAAGAATCAGTGAGAGCCATTTCAGAAGGTGCCTAGGACCTTGAGATCCCAGCAAAGTGCCTGGTGCATAGTAAGTACTCAGGAAAAGACATTGTTACTTGGTCTAGTGACATGGCCTGGGATTTGTGCTAGTTGCCCCTCAGTGGCCCAGGGCTCTGCTGTCCCATCTTCATCCTTTGGATTTTCTCTGCTGGAATTGCCAAATTTTTTTTGAAGGTTTTTCCTTCTAGCACTGTGAGATTGGGTCTACCCTCTCTGGGTATGGATCTGCAACAGAGGACAGATGCTCACTCACACTTACTTACGCGGTCTTCCTAATAGCCTCTCCATGAGCGTGTGTGGTCTTGTGTTGTGGTGAGTGTAGAGATATTTTGATTTCCTGCTCACCTGCTCCGTGGAGGATCTGATTTCTTGCAAATATTTTTTTTCTCCAGCAGCCTGTGGACAGGTATTTCTGCCTGACCATCTGGTAGCCATTCACCTTTATGGAAGCTTGAGAAAGGAATGAATTTCACTTGTTTCTTTAGCCATATCTGCCCTCCTTTGACAGCAAGTGACCTTTATCACCTCTTAAAATTTTTACTGTCTTGGTCCTTCTGGTACCAAAGGGCGCTCTTTAGATCCTCTAACTTTGTACAACTGATTCTCCTTCTTTGGTTTAGTTTCTCATGTCTTTCTTTTTGCACCCAGGTTTTAAACATCCTAGGCAAACGTCTAAGTTCTGTACCTCTCCCTACTTACCACCCACTGAGAGTGATAGATTCAGCTTGACTAGACCTGGCTTAAAATGATCAACTGAAAGAGAAAATCTGACCTCTGCCCCCATCCTGTCACTTGACTGATTCCTGAGGCCTTTGGCCTAATTGTCTCAGGTAATTTGCGGGAGGGCAGGGTATGGGAAGACAGAGGAAATTCCTGGGCAAGAATCAGGTGAGTGAAGCCTCTTCCTCCTGCTCTGATTTTGTATCCCTAAGGTCTCAGGGGCCTACCATCTCCTGCAAGACCCCTACAGGGTGGAGAAATCATGGATGAGTATTCCACATAACACGGGCTTTTGTTCAGGGGTCTCAGGTCAGCCCACCATGCTCAGATATATTTCTGTTGGAAGGAGGGTTGGAAGGCAGTGGTTATACAGTGGACTACCTGGCCATAGAATACAAATACATAGAATGATAACTGTCATAATATGCCTTCTCTGGAAATGGTGCTGCTTGGAGTAGATGACTAATACCCTAGTCAGAATGAAGCCAAAGACTATCTTCTGGATCTTAAAAATCCTCTCTACACCATTCACATACTAGTTTCTAATTGGCTAGTGATATGATCACCACTTCCAGGATCTGTTGCTCCAGTATGATGGTTAGGAGTATGCACTCTGGTCAGATAGGCCTCGATTTGAATCCCAGGCCCTTCACTTACTAGTTATGTCACCTTAGCTAGTTCTCAAAGTCTCAGTTTTCTCCTCTGTTAAATGGGCCTGTGATGGTTTCTATTTTCACAGGGCTGCTGTGAGGATAGCATAAAGTAATAAATGTAATGATTGACAAAGCATAAAGTGCCTGGTGCACAGTGAGTCCTTGAAGTCTATGGGTAGTTTTATTGTCCTGGCCCCTAAGGCCTCCAAAAGTTGAAGCCTCCATTTTTGGTGCTTACCATCTCTGTTATACATCTTACCTGATAAGGACTCTTTTTTCCCTCCTCCCTTGTATGTTGCATATTTGATGACCCTTACATCAGTCTCCCCCCTGTATACTTGTCTCTGGGATCTTGCAGGGAAAATGGACATTCCATGGCCAGGATCCTCGCCTGATACCCAGTGTATATGCGCAGTGATGTAGGCGCATAGTCATATCCTTGTTACCCACAAGCCATTATTGCCTGTGTTGCTATATAAAGAGCTCCGCCCAGTGCTAGAGCTCATCCTGAAGCAGAACCAGAGAGCCTGGAGAGCAGGACAGAGCCTGGAGCAGAGGCAGCGCCTGGGGCAAAGGGTGGGAGTGCAGAGGCTGAGCCTGGCATGCTCCTATAGTCTGTCTGGTGCAGACATGATTCTAGCACTTGATTTGCCATTGTGAGAATGAAGTTTAGTATGAGCCCCTTTTTACCTGCAGCATTCTGACATCATTTTTCAGTCTCACGAATCCCTAGTGAACTTGCCTGGGGCTGAAACCCTCTGGTGAGACAGGCCTTGACTCCTCTTACTGTAACCCTCGCTCCATGACCCTCTCAGAGTGTGAATCAGTCTCCGGTTCTGTCGACTTATTGCTATGGAGTATCCTCCTGAGGCTGAGGGACCGTGGGTGGCGCAGTCTCCCTCCCTATCAGTGATGACCTTTTCGTGAACCTTACTGAGGCACTGAGGAGAAACGTAAAACATTAAGACAAGTTGTTATTTGTCATCCCTCTCACCCCCAAAAGTTAATGGAATTTAACTCACTCCCTAAAACACAGAATTGAGTCAAAACCCTTTTTGTCTACAGACACAGAGTGAACCTTTCACTTGGCTTGGGAGCTGTGCTAAAGAAACCTCCCAGGAGCCCACATGGGCTGTCTGTGGCGAGTCAGATCTCTCAGTGTGAGAGGAGGTAGATGCAGGGGACAGGAATGCATGAGTGTGGCTTGAGGCTCTGCACTGATCCTGTGCAGTGTCCATAGCCCTCCCAGCCAGAAGCTTCCTCTGTTTCTACAGGACACCCTGCCACAAGAACAGCTGGTCTTTCCCCTTGGGAAACTAGCACTCTGGTTTCCATAGCAACAGGACTCCCTATTCTGTTCTCTCTGATTTTGTATCTTAGAAGCTTTTTGGCATGAATATCAAGGCTGGGGTGGCTAGTCTTTTCAGAGAGGATGAATCATACTTTATCCAAAGGGAATTGGGCTTTCTAAGCCCAAAGCTCTCACATGATGTAAAGAGTGAAGCTGAAGGCCAGGATGTCAGGGTGTTAGGGAGGCTGGCTATGCTCAGAAAGGAATGCTGAGTCAGTTGACAGAGGCAGAATTTGATGAGTGTTGTGAATTACTGGTTTGGCATGGAGCATGAAATGGCTTTGTACCAAATCATTGGTGGGAAAAAGGGCTGGCACCAGCAGAGACCTTACGTGGCTTAGGTAGAGTAACTGTCTGTGAGTTTCTCTAGAGACCTGGATCGCTGGTGGAAGTTTACAAAATCCCCAAACTGATAACCTATTCCCTAAAACAGGGAGGAGGACCACACTTCCATCTCAATAACTTCTCTCCTGCCTGTCAGGGATGGATAAAGCCTGTTTATCAGATAGGACAACAGAAGTGAGGGGTCTGGGTTTGGGGAGTGATTTCAGGTGGGTTGGAATGAAAGTGGAGTGAAGATATTTTTCCTTTTTGATTATTTCAGAAGAGGACAAAACTGACTAGAAGGGGCCTGATAGTTGCCTTTGCTAGAGGCTGGACGTAGGGGAAAGAGAGCAGTGCTGGAGAGCTCTGCAAGCTGCTTAGTTCCTGGAGGAGCTGAGACTTACTTTGGGAAGTTGGTCATTAATATGGGTCTTGTTTTTACTTGTGCTACTTCCCTGCCTTTATGTGCTTATAACAAATAAAGGGAGAAGGAAGAACAGATCTCTGCTATTTCTTATACTTGAAGATCTGTTAAACTCTGTGATTTGAGCAGGTGGATGAGATTCCTGATTTCCATAATTACCTGTGCCTGGAGATTTATACAGGAAAGGATCGTCGGGGCAGATTTGAAACCTGGTGCCCTTCAGTGGAGTGCACGCCGGGAGCCATGGGAAAAACTTCCTTGTGACAGCTGGAGACAGCCTTCTGTGTGGGAGCATAGGGACATAAGACATAATCCCTTTTATCCTGGCTTTAGTTTGCTTAATTGCCTCTTTAGCAGGGCTAGTCATGGTTGCAACAGGTGTCAGGCTTTGTAAGAAAGACACAGAGAGCTGGCCAAGATTGTAGGTCATTCCTGACCTGTGGGACTGCACCTTCAATAGCAGAAGGCCTTATTCCCAATTGTAGTCTCTTGCCCTGGGGATGAGATACAAGGTCTTGTGTTGTTCATTTCTGATACAAGTCCAGGAACGGGTCAGGAAGGGCAACCCTTTCTTCCAATTCTGACGAAGAAGCTAATGTGGAAGAATTAGGGCGGGAGGATGGGCCTGGGAGATGGAGGCTAAGGGGATTTGTCACTGCCTTGGAAAATTGTCCTACACATTTGCAAGTCACAGGAAGTTAGCAGAGAAGAAACATCTGGATGCTTTTCATCACCTTAACCTACATATTATCTTGAGATAATAGGCATACACTACAGTTGGAGAGAGTGTAGAAACATGGGAAGTGCGTGATAGTGGGAGTCAGACCCTGGGATTTTAGACTGCCCCTTACCAGTCGTGAAACCCTGCGGAAGTTGCCCTCTCAGGCTCTCCAGTTTTCTCCTCTGTTGATGGGGGTAAGGAGAGTGGGTGGACTGGGATTAGGTGGTCTCTAGTCTATGACTCATTGGCCACAGCATGACCTCGTCTCACACACACAGCCAGAGATGTTGATTGCTCTCAGCAGCCTTGCACCCTCCCCTCCCCTGCCTCCTCAGTGGGTTATCATGCTGACTCCACTAACACAGCCCCATCTGGATGCAGTCCAAACGCCAGATGTGCCCCCGATTAGTGTCGGTCTGGGGAATGTTTCCAGGACTGAAAGGTCAGTGTCGGCTGGAAGTGCCCAGAGTGGGGGTCTGCCCCCCCACCCGTGTCCGCTGCAGGAGCTGAACCTTCCATTATCTCGCTAGCCAAGGAACTTAGCTGCGGCAGCATGGCAGTGGGGGCTGGCCAAGTTCAGAAGGGCCTTGTTTTACTTGCCTTCTTTCTTTGCTCTCAGCTGAAGGACAGAGTATGATTTTACAGAGTATGATTTTCCACTTGGAAGAGACTCTAGGGATGTGCAAAGAGGGAAGTCCTGCTGGTGTGTAACTGAAAACACTTTGCTCTCTTTTAGATCTGCAATGTGCTCATGTCTCCTCTGATTTTCTTACTGCGGCTGTCACCTCCAATATGGAAAGAAAAATGAACGATAATGTTGTGATGGGCTGGGCTACCATGTTATACCCTATTTACAGGTAATTTTAAATATCACTTCTACACTTCAGATGGGCTTTCATGTTTAATTTCATTCGTGGAGGGCTATGCAAGGCTTTCCTCTAGGTAGCAATGAAAATTAAGCACAATTGAGTTTGATGTGTACCTTATTGATTCCAGACCCATTTCAGTAGACTGTGACACTTCAGCGACCTGCAAATTCTGCACATTAGAGTTCGTATTTTACACAAAAGTCCATACACCCAAGATACAGACTTGAATTTCTACCAGCAACACCCACCTCCCAACAAAAGACACAAGCCCTGTCAGAAGATGAACTTTGCTAATGAAGATATGTTACAGATGGTATTTATGGTCATCCCCTAGGAAACAACAAGATTCATGAATAGTTAGGTCCATGGAAATCACATCAAGAGTAGAGTAATAATTCCTCCATTCCATGTTGTCCTTTTTGTTCTCTGCAGGCCCTTTCTAGTCCAAGAAGTCACCACAATTTTTTCAAAAGGAGAGGAGAGAGTGGGTTAACCTGGCTTGGGAACTAACAAGTCATGAAAACTGTCAGCACCTTTGATTGATTGTGCGCTGTGAAAGCACAGGATATCTCTTCTTTGCATGGGGCTGTAAGACAAAGGGTGGTCTTCTGTGGCCCATGGTTCCTCCACAGAGGCATCGTTAGAGAAGGCCACTCAAGCAAAGGGAAGAATTGGTGACAGAGCAAGGCAGGTGGCTGAGTTCTGACTAGTCCCTGGTTTCAGAGCATTGTGTCAGTCATCTCTCTTTTGTAACTGGGCTGGGAGTTAGAGGCTTTATTCAGTCCCAAGTGCGAGAAAGGGAACTTTTACTAGAGGGCATGGCCTTGTGAGGCAAGGGAAGAAAGTATCTTCTGCCAGCTGGGGCAGGGAACAGAGGTGAGTCAGAACGGCTTGTGGAGAATGGTATTCCCCTCTGGGGGACACAGGGCCACTTGTAAAATTACGTCTAGATGTTGGTTTACAGCCAAGCTTCTCAACCTTAGCTGCATATTGGAATCACCTGGGAGGCTTTTACAATCTTGCTGTCCAGGCCCCTCCTCAGACCAATTATATCAGGATCTCGGGGGTGGGAACCAGGCTGAGGGAGCTGTCAAGGCTCCCCAGGTCACTTCAGTGTACATTCAGGCTTGAGGCCCACTGATCTAGGACCTTGCTAATCAAAGTGTGGCCTGAGGACCAGCAGCATTGATATCCCCTGGGACTTGAGAGACGTGCAGAATCTCAGGCCCTATCCCAACCCCAAGTCAGCACCTGCATTTTAGCAAGGTCCCTGGGAGATCTGAAGTCCATTAAAGTATAAGGAGTTGTGGTTCTCAAACTTTGCTGCACATTAAAATCACCTAGGGAGCTTTTAAAAATCCAATGCCCAGGCTGCACCTCGTACCAATTAAATCAGAATTTTTGAGGGTGGGATGCAAGCATCAGTAGTTTTTTATTGGTTCTCAGGTGATTCTGATATGCATGGGTTCGCAACCCTGGCTACATATTAGAATCACCTGGGGAGCTTTTAAATATCCTACCTATGGCCAGAGTGGAGTCTGCAGAGCACAAATTCTGAGAGATTTTTTGATGGGAGTTAGCAACAGCCTATCATTTTTGCCGTATTCTATTCTATTCTACTCTACTCTACTCTACTCTACTCTACTCTACTCTACTCTACTCTACTCTACTCTACTCTACTCTATTCTATTCTATTCTATTCTATTCTATTCTATTCTATTCTATTCTATTCTATTCTATTCTATTCTATTCTATTCAATTCAATTCATTAGAAGCAAGTCCTTAGGTCCAACCCACATTTAAGGGGCAGGGATTACACAGGAGGCAAGAATCAGTGAGAGCCATTTCAGAAGGTGCCTAGGACCTTGAGATCCCAGCAAAGTGCCTGGTGCATAGTAAGTACTCAGGAAAAGACATTGTTACTTGGTCTAGTGACATGGCCTGGGATTTGTGCTAGTTGCCCCTCAGTGGCCCAGGGCTCTGCTGTCCCATCTTCATCCTTTGGATTTTCTCTGCTGGAATTGCCAAATTTTTTTTGAAGGTTTTTCCTTCTAGCACTGTGAGATTGGGTCTACCCTCTCTGGGTATGGATCTGCAACAGAGGACAGATGCTCACTCACACTTACTTACGCGGTCTTCCTAATAGCCTCTCCATGAGCGTGTGTGGTCTTGTGTTGTGGTGAGTGTAGAGATATTTTGATTTCCTGCTCACCTGCTCCGTGGAGGATCTGATTTCTTGCAAATATTTTTTTTCTCCAGCAGCCTGTGGACAGGTATTTCTGCCTGACCATCTGGTAGCCATTCACCTTTATGGAAGCTTGAGAAAGGAATGAATTTCACTTGTTTCTTTAGCCATATCTGCCCTCCTTTGACAGCAAGTGACCTTTATCACCTCTTAAAATTTTTACTGTCTTGGTCCTTCTGGTACCAAAGGGCGCTCTTTAGATCCTCTAACTTTGTACAACTGATTCTCCTTCTTTGGTTTAGTTTCTCATGTCTTTCTTTTTGCACCCAGGTTTTAAACATCCTAGGCAAACGTCTAAGTTCTGTACCTCTCCCTACTTACCACCCACTGAGAGTGATAGATTCAGCTTGACTAGACCTGGCTTAAAATGATCAACTGAAAGAGAAAATCTGACCTCTGCCCCCATCCTGTCACTTGACTGATTCCTGAGGCCTTTGGCCTAATTGTCTCAGGTAATTTGCGGGAGGGCAGGGTATGGGAAGACAGAGGAAATTCCTGGGCAAGAATCAGGTGAGTGAAGCCTCTTCCTCCTGCTCTGATTTTGTATCCCTAAGGTCTCAGGGGCCTACCATCTCCTGCAAGACCCCTACAGGGTGGAGAAATCATGGATGAGTATTCCACATAACACGGGCTTTTGTTCAGGGGTCTCAGGTCAGCCCACCATGCTCAGATATATTTCTGTTGGAAGGAGGGTTGGAAGGCAGTGGTTATACAGTGGACTACCTGGCCATAGAATACAAATACATAGAATGATAACTGTCATAATATGCCTTCTCTGGAAATGGTGCTGCTTGGAGTAGATGACTAATACCCTAGTCAGAATGAAGCCAAAGACTATCTTCTGGATCTTAAAAATCCTCTCTACACCATTCACATACTAGTTTCTAATTGGCTAGTGATATGATCACCACTTCCAGGATCTGTTGCTCCAGTATGATGGTTAGGAGTATGCACTCTGGTCAGATAGGCCTCGATTTGAATCCCAGGCCCTTCACTTACTAGTTATGTCACCTTAGCTAGTTCTCAAAGTCTCAGTTTTCTCCTCTGTTAAATGGGCCTGTGATGGTTTCTATTTTCACAGGGCTGCTGTGAGGATAGCATAAAGTAATAAATGTAATGATTGACAAAGCATAAAGTGCCTGGTGCACAGTGAGTCCTTGAAGTCTATGGGTAGTTTTATTGTCCTGGCCCCTAAGGCCTCCAAAAGTTGAAGCCTCCATTTTTGGTGCTTACCATCTCTGTTATACATCTTACCTGATAAGGACTCTTTTTTCCCTCCTCCCTTGTATGTTGCATATTTGATGACCCTTACATCAGTCTCCCCCCTGTATACTTGTCTCTGGGATCTTGCAGGGAAAATGGACATTCCATGGCCAGGATCCTCGCCTGATACCCAGTGTATATGCGCAGTGATGTAGGCGCATAGTCATATCCTTGTTACCCACAAGCCATTATTGCCTGTGTTGCTATATAAAGAGCTCCGCCCAGTGCTAGAGCTCATCCTGAAGCAGAACCAGAGAGCCTGGAGAGCAGGACAGAGCCTGGAGCAGAGGCAGCGCCTGGGGCAAAGGGTGGGAGTGCAGAGGCTGAGCCTGGCATGCTCCTATAGTCTGTCTGGTGCAGACATGATTCTAGCACTTGATTTGCCATTGTGAGAATGAAGTTTAGTATGAGCCCCTTTTTACCTGCAGCATTCTGACATCATTTTTCAGTCTCACGAATCCCTAGTGAACTTGCCTGGGGCTGAAACCCTCTGGTGAGACAGGCCTTGACTCCTCTTACTGTAACCCTCGCTCCATGACCCTCTCAGAGTGTGAATCAGTCTCCGGTTCTGTCGACTTATTGCTATGGAGTATCCTCCTGAGGCTGAGGGACCGTGGGTGGCGCAGTCTCCCTCCCTATCAGTGATGACCTTTTCGTGAACCTTACTGAGGCACTGAGGAGAAACGTAAAACATTAAGACAAGTTGTTATTTGTCATCCCTCTCACCCCCAAAAGTTAATGGAATTTAACTCACTCCCTAAAACACAGAATTGAGTCAAAACCCTTTTTGTCTACAGACACAGAGTGAACCTTTCACTTGGCTTGGGAGCTGTGCTAAAGAAACCTCCCAGGAGCCCACATGGGCTGTCTGTGGCGAGTCAGATCTCTCAGTGTGAGAGGAGGTAGATGCAGGGGACAGGAATGCATGAGTGTGGCTTGAGGCTCTGCACTGATCCTGTGCAGTGTCCATAGCCCTCCCAGCCAGAAGCTTCCTCTGTTTCTACAGGACACCCTGCCACAAGAACAGCTGGTCTTTCCCCTTGGGAAACTAGCACTCTGGTTTCCATAGCAACAGGACTCCCTATTCTGTTCTCTCTGATTTTGTATCTTAGAAGCTTTTTGGCATGAATATCAAGGCTGGGGTGGCTAGTCTTTTCAGAGAGGATGAATCATACTTTATCCAAAGGGAATTGGGCTTTCTAAGCCCAAAGCTCTCACATGATGTAAAGAGTGAAGCTGAAGGCCAGGATGTCAGGGTGTTAGGGAGGCTGGCTATGCTCAGAAAGGAATGCTGAGTCAGTTGACAGAGGCAGAATTTGATGAGTGTTGTGAATTACTGGTTTGGCATGGAGCATGAAATGGCTTTGTACCAAATCATTGGTGGGAAAAAGGGCTGGCACCAGCAGAGACCTTACGTGGCTTAGGTAGAGTAACTGTCTGTGAGTTTCTCTAGAGACCTGGATCGCTGGTGGAAGTTTACAAAATCCCCAAACTGATAACCTATTCCCTAAAACAGGGAGGAGGACCACACTTCCATCTCAATAACTTCTCTCCTGCCTGTCAGGGATGGATAAAGCCTGTTTATCAGATAGGACAACAGAAGTGAGGGGTCTGGGTTTGGGGAGTGATTTCAGGTGGGTTGGAATGAAAGTGGAGTGAAGATATTTTTCCTTTTTGATTATTTCAGAAGAGGACAAAACTGACTAGAAGGGGCCTGATAGTTGCCTTTGCTAGAGGCTGGACGTAGGGGAAAGAGAGCAGTGCTGGAGAGCTCTGCAAGCTGCTTAGTTCCTGGAGGAGCTGAGACTTACTTTGGGAAGTTGGTCATTAATATGGGTCTTGTTTTTACTTGTGCTACTTCCCTGCCTTTATGTGCTTATAACAAATAAAGGGAGAAGGAAGAACAGATCTCTGCTATTTCTTATACTTGAAGATCTGTTAAACTCTGTGATTTGAGCAGGTGGATGAGATTCCTGATTTCCATAATTACCTGTGCCTGGAGATTTATACAGGAAAGGATCGTCGGGGCAGATTTGAAACCTGGTGCCCTTCAGTGGAGTGCACGCCGGGAGCCATGGGAAAAACTTCCTTGTGACAGCTGGAGACAGCCTTCTGTGTGGGAGCATAGGGACATAAGACATAATCCCTTTTATCCTGGCTTTAGTTTGCTTAATTGCCTCTTTAGCAGGGCTAGTCATGGTTGCAACAGGTGTCAGGCTTTGTAAGAAAGACACAGAGAGCTGGCCAAGATTGTAGGTCATTCCTGACCTGTGGGACTGCACCTTCAATAGCAGAAGGCCTTATTCCCAATTGTAGTCTCTTGCCCTGGGGATGAGATACAAGGTCTTGTGTTGTTCATTTCTGATACAAGTCCAGGAACGGGTCAGGAAGGGCAACCCTTTCTTCCAATTCTGACGAAGAAGCTAATGTGGAAGAATTAGGGCGGGAGGATGGGCCTGGGAGATGGAGGCTAAGGGGATTTGTCACTGCCTTGGAAAATTGTCCTACACATTTGCAAGTCACAGGAAGTTAGCAGAGAAGAAACATCTGGATGCTTTTCATCACCTTAACCTACATATTATCTTGAGATAATAGGCATACACTACAGTTGGAGAGAGTGTAGAAACATGGGAAGTGCGTGATAGTGGGAGTCAGACCCTGGGATTTTAGACTGCCCCTTACCAGTCGTGAAACCCTGCGGAAGTTGCCCTCTCAGGCTCTCCAGTTTTCTCCTCTGTTGATGGGGGTAAGGAGAGTGGGTGGACTGGGATTAGGTGGTCTCTAGTCTATGACTCATTGGCCACAGCATGACCTCGTCTCACACACACAGCCAGAGATGTTGATTGCTCTCAGCAGCCTTGCACCCTCCCCTCCCCTGCCTCCTCAGTGGGTTATCATGCTGACTCCACTAACACAGCCCCATCTGGATGCAGTCCAAACGCCAGAT